TTTCCCGTGCGCCTGGCTCGAGTCTGTACACCCTGACCACTGCGTCCCCTCAGGTAGCTGCGTCTGCGTCTGCGTCCGGTCAGCCGACGGCCCCCTGCGAGTGTCGCGCTTTGTCGCACCAGACCCTCCTGTGGCACCACCGCCTTGGTCACCCCTCGGTGCAGCGCCTTCGTGGCATGCACTCTCGCTTCCTGGTTTCTGGTCTGCCCAGGTCTTTGCCTGCCCTGCCTCCCTCGCTTGCGCCGCCCTGCATTCCTTGCATCGAGGGGCGGCAGCGCGCCGCTCCTCACTCCTCCTCGTTCCCTCCCACAGAGGCTCCCCTGCAGACTCTCCACCTGGACGTTTTGGGCCCAGCCCGCGTCCGTGGACAGGGCCACGAGCGGTACTTCCTGCTGGTTGTTGACGACTACACGCGTTACACCACGGTCTTTCCCCTGCGCAGCAAGGGGGAGGTCCCTGCTGTTTTGATCCCTTGGATCCGCGCTGCCCGTCTCCAGCTCCGCGAGCGGTTCGGGACGGAGTTTCCCGTCCTGCGTCTGCACTCTGACAGAGGTGGTGAGTTCTCCTCAGACCTCTTGGCAGCCTTCTGTGCGGAGCACGGCATCACCCAGTCGTTCACGCTTCCGGCCTCTCCGCAGCAGAATGGGGTTGCTGAGCGCCGCATTGGCTTAGTCATGGAGGTCGCTCGTACCTCCATGATCCATGCGGCTGCCCCCCATTTTCTGTGGCCGTTTGTGGTCCGGTACGCTGCGCATCAGCTCAACCTCTGGCCCCGTGTCTCCTTGCCGGAGACCTCGCCCACACTGCTGTGGATGGGGAAGGTTGGCGATGCGTCGCGTTTCCGGGTCTGGGGTGCTCGTGCCTTTGTCCGCGATACCACCGCGGACAAGCTCTCCGCCCGTGCTGTTCCCTGTGTCTTCCTTGGCTTTGTCCCTGACGCGCCTGGTTGGCAGTTTTACCACCCCACCTCGCACCGTGTCTTTGCGTCTCAGGACGTCACGTTCGATGAGTCGGTTCCCTTTTACCGTCTCTTCCCCTACCGCACTGCCCCTCTCCCTCCCCCGCCGCTCTTCCTCGCTCCAGGTGCTCCCCAGGTAGACCCCCTCCCCGCTCCCGGTCCTGCTCCTTCAGGTGTGTCTCAGGTAGACCCTCCTCCCTTCCCTGCGCCGGTCGAGGTCACTGGTGACTCAGGTCCTACTGGGGGTGGTCCTGCTCGGGGTGCTACTTCTGGGGGTACTGAGCCTGGGGGTGCGGAGCTTGAGAGTGTGGAGCCTGGAGGTGCTGAGCCTGCGTGTGAGGGGTCTGGAGGTGCTGGAGCTGGTGGTTCTGGGGCTGCTGAGGGTGCGGGCGCTGGAGGTTCTGGAGCTGCTGGAGGTCCTGGTGCTGGTGGCGCTGGAGCTGGTGGTTCTGGGGCTGCTGAGGGTGCGAGCGCTGGAGGTTCTGGAGCTGCTGGAGGTCCTGGTGCTGGTGGCGCTGGAGCTGCTGAGGGTGCTGGCGCTGAGGGTTCAGAGTCTGCTGTTGCGCGGTCTCCTTGGAGTAGCCGCCTTCGTCCCCGTGTGCCTCTCACCTCGCAGCAGCTGCACGACTGGTACGGTCGCCGTCAGGGTCGCGCTGCTGGAGCCCGGGGCTCTGCTGCTGGAGGTACTTCTGCTGACGTCACTGGAGCTGGGAGTGGTGCTGGTACTTTGTCTACTGGAGGTGCTGGAGTCGCTGGTCCCGGAGGTGCTCGTACTGGAGGTACTGGAGCTGCTGGGGCTGGGGGTGCTGCGTCTGGAGGTGCTGCTGCTGGAGACATTGAGGCTGGAGACCCTAGGACTGGAGGTGCTGGTTCTGGGGGTGCTGCTGCTGGAGACACTGAGGCTGGAGACCCTGGGACTGGAGGTGCTGGTTCTGGGGGTGCTGCTGCTGGAGGCACTGGGGTTGGAGACCCTGGGCCTGGAGGTGTCGGTTCTGGGGCTGGAGCTTCTGGAGCTGCTGGAGGTGCTGGAGCTGCTGGAGGTACTGGAGCTGCTAGAGCTGCCGGTACTGGTGCGGCTGCGCCGACACGACTGTTCTTCGCTCCGCCGTCTCCGTCGTCTCTGCCGCCGCCTGACTCTGTTCTTCGTCAGGTTCTTACTCTCCCGTCGTCTACTGGTCTTCCGTTACAGCCTGGCTCACCGCTGCCTGCTCCTTCTCCTTACACTGAGCAGACAGGTAGTCTTGCTGAGCGTCGTGAGCCTGCGTCGCGTCCTGTCTCGCCTGTTCGTCCTAGTCGTACCGGTCGTCGTGTTCCTCGTCCGCGTCAGCCGACTGTCCCGGCACACGCCTTGTAGCCCTGCGTCGGTCCCCTACTCCGGAGCGTACTCCTCTTCCGTCTCCCCCTGCGTCCTCTTTGCCTGACGTCGCGGACCCTGAGTCTGACCGGTTTCGTGCTGAGCACCCTACTGTCACGCGTCTGCTAGCCACTGTTGTCACTGACCCGTCGTTTGAGTCTGCTGCTGCGTCTGCCCTGGTCGCTGAGCTTGTTGACTTTGCTGCTGTCTGTCGTCTAGACTACGCTGCTAGTCTTGTTGCTGAGTCTGAGTCTGTCTGTCCTCCGTCCGTCGGGGGTGAGTGTGCCCTTGGCACGGACGTCCTTGAGGACAGGCACGAGGACCTTGAGTGTCTTGCAGCCGCTGCGCCTCATCTCGTGGCCATGCTGCTTGCTCCTGAGGGAGACCCGGATGCTATAGACATCCCCACACCGCGCTCTTACGCTGAGGCGATCGCGGGTCCCTACTCCTCTCAGTGGCAGGCAGCCATGGACGCAGAGGTGGCATCCTGGAAGTCCACAGGCACTTACGTCGATGAGGTTCCCCCTCCCGGGGCGAACATCGTCGATGGCATGTGGATTTTCAGGGTGAAGCGGCCGCCAGGTTCTCCGCCTGTCTTCAAGGCGCGTTACGTTGCTCGAGGCTTCAGTCAGCGAGAGGGAGTCGACTTCTTCCAGACCTTCTCCCCTACCCCGAAGATGACTACTCTTCGGGTGCTGCTGCACGTTGCCGCTCAGCGTGACTACGAGCTTCACTCCCTTGACTTCAGCACAGCTTTCCTACAGGGCAGCCTGCACGAGGAGATCTGGCTGCGCCGCCCACCTGGCTTCACTGGGTCGTTCCCTCCTGGTACCCAGTGGAGCCTCCGCCGGCCAGTCTACGGTCTCCGCCAGGCACCCCGTGAGTGGCACGACACACTGAGGACTACCCTTGCGGCTCTTGGGTTTGCGCCTTCGACTGCTGACCCTTCACTGTTTCTGCGCACCGACACTTCACTGCCGCCGTTCTATATCCTCGTGTACGTCGACGACTTGGTCTTTGCTACTGCTGACACTGAGGCCCTCGCCCTGGTGAAGTCCGAGCTGCAGAAGAGACACACGTGCACAGACCTGGGTGAGCTGCGCAGCTACCTTGGCTTGCAGATCACCCGGGACAGAGCACGCCGCACCATCACACTGACTCAGTCACACATGGTGCAGCAGGTCCTTCAGCGCTTCGGCTTCACCTGGTCCTCAGCACAGGCCACTCCTCTGGCTATAGGTCACTCGCTCTCAGCTCTGCCTTCGGATGAGTCCGTAGAGCCGAGTGGTCCTTACCCAGAGCTAGTGGGCTGCCTCATGTACCTGATGACTTGCACTCGTCCTGACCTTGCGTACCCTCTTGGCCTTCTGGCTCGCTACGTGGCTCCTGGTCGGCACCGAAAGGTGCACTGGGATGCTGCGAAGAGGGTACTGCGCTACTTGTGCAGTACATCGGGCATGGGGCTCGTGCTTGGAGGACGGCGAGAGGTGGTCCTCACTGGTCACTCAGACGCTTCTTGGGTTGACGACCAGGCTACGCAGCGGTCGTCACAGGGTTACACTTTCAGCCTTGGCTCTGGTTCTGTTTCTTGGCGTTCTACTCGCTCGTCTTCTGTTCTCAGCTCCAGTTGTGAGGCTAAGATCTACGCCACCGCCATGGCTGCTCAGGAGTTACGCTGGCTCACCTACCTGCTGACCGACCTGGGAGAGCGGCCTCGTTCTCCTCTAGTGCTGTACGTCGACAACAAGGCTGCCATTGCCTTGTGTGAGGAGCACAGACTGGAGCACAGAACGAAGCATATCGCTCTGCGGTACTTTCTGGCTCGAGAGTTGCAGCAGCGCGGTCAGCTTCGTCTTGCACACGTGGCCACTCGGGCCAACACTTCTGATATATTCACCAAGGCACTTCCGTCTGGTGATCATCAGCGCTTTTGTACTTTGTTAGGCCTTGTGCCTACGTTTCCACACTTGCTGTAGTCTTTTGTGTGTACTGTGCTCTATATTTATACCTGCATGCTTGCTCTTGCTAGGTATTGATCTCTGCATGTGGACTGGCCTTGTGGCCCTTTGCTTGTGCTCAGAATGTGTGGTGACGTTGAGATCCACCCTGAGCTTGCTTTGCGTCTCTTGACTGGTCGTGTGACCCCTTGTTCTCCCCCACTTTGCCTATGGGGGTGTGTCAAACACATATGTTGCATATTGTCTAGGCTGTAGTGGGGTAGCCCATATGGGGTACAACCCAATTAGGGTTTAGTACTTGTACTCCTGCATGCTGTTAGTTCATCATTCCTGCTGCTAGATTCTGACACTCTCTTCACAAACCCTAGCCTCTCACTATTATGTTTGACAATGTTTGACAGTTACCTCCAACCATGTCACCATATTCAAGAAACACTCATACAGTTCCTCATATGGTAGCCCGCTTTTGGTTTCCCTTCCACGATCCCTGATCTAATGCGACGGTGTATGAAGGACAGGGAACCAAGGAAAGGTGCTGTGGTGGGGATCTACTCAGAGAGGCACCATACTTTGGCTGCCTCACAAACACATGAATACACAGTACCCCAGCCCAAGTTAACGATCGGAGAGAGAAAAAACAAATCAGCGTCGGGAACACTCCTGGCCCGCCCGGCCTAATGGTACCCAAAGCAGGCATTGGAAAGTGCATCACACAGCACTGTAGATCGGCCTAATGGTCTCTGAAGCGCGAGGGGCCGAAGGAAGGCGCGAGGATCTGAAAGAGCCCGTCAGGGTTGTCGGTGTGGACCTGAGGGTTGGAGATAATGCGATACAGAAGCATAAAAGCAGTTGGTGATTTGGAACAAGGGATGCCTGAAAGGCCTCATGTCCCAGGTCCATGCCCTCGCCCCAGCATGTATCCCTTACCCATGCCCCAATGCCCATGCCAACCACGTGCTTCACACCTCGAGACCCCTCTACACCACACTACACTCACCCAGTGCCCGGTGTCTTCCAACACGTGCATCCTCACAGCAGCGCTATGCCCCATTGCCTCCTGCTCCGCACCCACTATCCGCCGAATGTGCCATAACCCGCACCAACAATGCCCCTGAAACGCCTAAAAACCCTTCTGGCGCACCTCTCAGACTCCTAGAAAGGCCTATGAACCCCTTTCCACCGCTCTGCACTCACCCAGTGCCCAGCATCCTCCAGCACGTGCATCCTCACAGCAGCGCCATGCCCCATCGCCTCCTGCTCTGCTCCCAGTATCCTCCGAATGTCGTCCCGTGCCCACCGGTGCAGCGATCTTTCAGCTCGCAGGAAGTTGATGTGTACCCCTTCTGGCACATCCTCCACCAAGTGCCTGAAACGTGTTGTAGGGATAGAGGATTGGGGGGAGCATAAGAGGGGATTGATGCTCAGTGTCCACCCAACACTGCTCTGTACCGAATGTTCGGTGCTCTGTATCCTCCGAATGTCGTCCCATCCCGCCCCCATCGGTGCAGCGACCTCTCTGCTCTGAGGAAGCTGACGTGCACCCCCTCTGGCACGTCCTGTACCAGGTGCCTGGGGGGGTGTCAAGGTGGGGGAGGGAAGATAGGTGCCACCGCACAGCACCATTTAGCACTGCTCTGCTCTGAGAATGTTGATGTGCACTCCCTCTGGCACGTCCTGTACCAGGTGCCTGGGAGGGTGTAAAGGTGGGGGAGGGAAGATAGGTGCCACCGCACAGCACCATTTAGAACTGCTCTGCTCAGAGAATGTTGATGTGCACTCCCTCTGGCACGTCCTCTACCAGGTGCCTGGGAGGGCAGGGGAGGCAGAGGGACCGCACAGCACCACACAGCACTCATCAGCACCGCTCAGCTCTGAGGAAGTTGATGTACACTCCCTGTGGCACGTCCTGTACCAGGTGCCTAGAGGGGAAGTGCGGAAAGGAGAGGACACCACGCCACGCCACACCACACCACGCCACGCCACGCCACGCCACGCCACGCCACGCCACGCCACGCCACGCCACGCCACGCCACGCCACGCCACGCCACGCCACACCACGCCACAATACACCACGCCACGCCACGCCACGCCACAATACACCACGCCACGCCACGCCACGCCACGCCACACCACACCACGCCACGCCACGCCACGCCACGCCACGCCACGCCACGCCACGCCACGCCACGCCACGCCACGCCACGCCACGCCACGCCACGCCACGCCACGCCACGCCACGCCACGCCACGCCACGCCACGCCACGCCACGCCACGCCACGCCACGCCACGCCACGCCACGCCACGCCACGCCACGCCACGCCGCGCCACGCCACACCACGCCACACCACGCCACGCCACAAATCCCATCCCACAACTTGCATCTCACCACACATCCCATCCCACCTTACACTCCACCACACCACACCACACCACACCGAACTGCACCACACCGCACATGCTCCCTCAACTCACCACAAGCTTGTCGTCTCATACGACGAGTACATCTGAGCAATCCCTTCCAGATCAAACGCCCACCCATACTCCGCCTGCCCCACAATACGCCACACCACACCACACCACACCACACCACACCACACCAAACCACACCCCACCACATTGCACCGCATCACACCGCACATGACCCAAACTCACCACAAGTTCGTCGTCTCATAGGAGGAGTACATCTGAGCAATCCCCTCCAGGTCAAACGCCCACCCATACGCCGCCTGCCCCCTGCTCGCTACACCACCCCACGATGCACCACACCACACCACACCACACCACACCACACCGCAATGCACCACACTCAGCTTACCAGAGATTCGTGGTTTCATACGACGAGTACATCTGGGCAATCCCCTCCAGATCAAACGCCCACCCATACGCCGCCTGCCCCCTACTCGCCGCCCTCGCCGCCGCCTCGTGCAGCTGCTGCTGTGAAGGAGGCAGGTCCCGCACGAGATCTAGTGAGGGCAGGTGCGTCCTGGACAGGTTGGTGGTCATCCACTGCGCGATGGGCTTGGAGAAGCCCTGCGAGAGGAGAGAGTTCACCACCTCGCTGCGATCCAGAATCTGAGGAGAAAGCAGAGTACAAGGGAGCAGGGTGTGGGGAGCAGGGTGTGGGGAGCAGGGTGTGGGGAGCAGGGTGTGGGGAGCAGGGTGTGGGGAGGTGGGTGGTAAAGGGAGGGCAGGTGAGTTTGGTTGAGTCACCACCTCCCTGCAATCCAGAATGTGAGGAGAGGGCAGGCGGAGAGGGGAGAGGAGGGGGAGCAGGGTAGGAGGAGGGTGGGTGGGTTCCAAGTGGGTATTAGAGCAGTCTGGTTTGCAAGAGTAGCATCGGGGCACTAGGAGACCCTCGGTGCTCCTCTAAAGCATAGATGGGGACCGGGCCAGGCCTTGGAGGATTTTCACGCCTTGGCTCTCAACAGCGACATTGGAGTCACTTTTGGGAGCTCTGAAGAGTGACAGAAGTGACTAGGATATTAATAGCGCTCAGCTCACCAGCGGCGGCATGCCTCTGAGCGCATCGATCAGGTCAGCTGGGTGATCCTCCCCGTCGCCCCCTGCCCTCACTTTGCCTGGTGTAGCGTCCAACACCCACACCTGAGTGGGGGGAACGGAGAGAAAGCGGGGGGGTTGGTGATGGTGAGAGGGAAGATGTGGGCAACGAGTGAAAATCTCAATGAGACAGAGGACAGGGGTTGGAGGACAGGGGTTGGAGGACAGGGGTTGGAGGGGAGCTCGCCCAGTGCCAAGTTGCGTTTTGACTTGATTCAAAGAGTCAAAGAGACGTCTCAAAACACTCGCTCAGTACCAAGTTGCATTTTGACTGGGCAACCCCTGACCTCTAGAGGGTTTTTTTGAGAATTCTCAAAAAATCCCTGCAACGACTGGGCAACCCCTGACCTCTAGAGGCTCAACTCATTCAAAGAGTCAAAGAGTGGTTTCCCTGCGGTGGGTGGGTTCTAACACCGGCACTTGAAGGGGGGAAATAATGCGACGGACCGTTGGATAGAGGCCGGGTGCATGGAAATACCTTGATAGCGCTGGGCATGGGCTTGGCTGCTTGGTCTATCATGCTTAGAGCCACTGTACGAGGGGGAAGCACGAGGGGGAAAGGGTGGGGGCAGAAGAGGAGAGGACGGATGAGAAGGGGCAGGGCAGAGAGGGCGCTGGGCATGGGCTCGGCTGCTTGGTCTATCATGCTTAGAGCCACTGTAAGGGCTGGTGGGGGAGGACGTCAGAGGGTAGCAGGAGAGGAGGCTTGCAATGGATGGCGTCTCAAGGGAAAGAGGGGGAGAAGGGGAGACCGGGAGAGGAGAGGGGAGGAGGGGGAGGAGGGGGAGAGGAGGAGAGGGGGAGAGGGGGAGAGGGGGAGAGGGGGAGGGAGAGGGGGAGAGGGGGAGAGGGATAGATGGGGAGAGGGGTAGGAGGGAAGCGGATGGGGCGTGTGGAGTGACTTTTGAGAATTCTCAAAAGTCACTCCAAGATGGGGCGTGTGGAGAAGAATAGAAGCGGTAGGAGGGCAGCAGAAGAGCATTCGAGAAAGGAGCCAGAATAGAAGAGCAGCAGAAAGAAAGAGGGAAATAATGAAATCCCTTTTGAGAATTCTCGAAAGTGATTTCAATATGGGGGTAGAGAAAGTAACAATGGGTGGGGTGGGGTGGGGTGTTTTGGGGTGAGGTGAGGTGAGGTGGGAAGAGTAGTGTGTGCAAAGATAGTGGGGGAAGGAAAGAAAGCGAGTACAGATGGTGGATTCGTGGGGAGAGGAGAAGAATGGAAGTTCCAGAAAAGGTCCTGAGAGAGCTTATAAAGAGGATGCTGAGGCTCGATATAAGTGAATGCACCTTTGCCGCCGAAGCTGTGGCCGATGAGAATGCGGGGAGTGATGCGCAGGCGACCCATCTGAGAAGAGAGGATGGGAGTGGAGAGGAGGGAGGGGAGGGCAGAGGGAAGAGGAGAGGGAAGGGGAGATGGGATAAGTGAAGGGAGAGGAGGGGAGCGAAGAGGAGAAAGAGATGAGAATGTGGGGGGAGTGATGCGCAGGCCATGATGCGGGGAGTGATGCGCGGGAGAGGGGAGGAAAGATGAGATGGAGGGAAGGAAGGGGAGGCAAGGAGAAGATGATGAGAATGCCGGGAGTGATGTGCAGAGGGCACATCAATGAGTGATGCCGGGAGTGATGTGCAGAGGCACATCCGCGAGACATGGGGAGGGGAGCAAGCAAAGGTAGCTACTCACCAGGTGCAGCACATCCTTGGCAGCAGACTGCACTAAGTGGCACGAATCAGAGGAGACGGTAGACAGAACGCAAACAGCAACATGAGAGAGACCACACACCAAGCAGGACCCCCCACCCACCAGCAGGCAGCACCCACTCACCAGTGTCAGAAATAGGCTTAGAAGCGATGCATTAGTAATGAGCTTGAAGCTCTTTAAGTACATCCAAGAGGGGTAGGAAAAGGATGGGGAAGGGAATCGGGGGCAATCTCTAGGGATTGGGGGTAATCCCAAGGCAATCTCCAATTGGTGGGTTGGAGATTGGTTGGAGATTACATTTGGGTTTGGTTGGGATGTAGGTGTACACCCAACCAAACACAATGTGCAAACTACACTAAACTAGGATATAGAAAATACAAAGTACAAATTGTGAGATTGAAGACTAACACTAACAACCAGATGCAGCACGTCCTTGGCAGCAGACTGCACTAAGTGGCACGAATCAGAGGAGACGGTAGACAGAACGCAACAGCAACATGAGAGACCACACACCAAGCAGGACCCACCCACCCACCAGCAGGCAGCACCCACTCACCAGATGCAGCACGTCCTTGGCAGCAGAGTGCACTGAGTGCGGTCCCAGGTGCCTCAAAAGTCAGCACGCCCATACCAGGTGCCTCAAAAGTCAGCACGCCCATACCAGGTGCAGCGACAGAGAGGAGAGCAGACAAAGGTAGGTATTCACCAGATGCAGCACGCGTTTAGCGGCAGGCAGAGTGCACTGAATGTGATGATCCCAGGTGCCTCGATGCTGCTGTGGGGGCACAACCTGTAGTACTTATAAAAACGGTACACAGCAAGCGGCAACCAACTCACCAGGTGCAACACCCACCCACCCACTCACTCACCAGTGCAACATTCACCACTCACCAGCAAGCAGCACCCACCCACTCACTCACCAGATGCAGCACGTCCTTAGCAGCAGACTGAACAGAATGCGGTCCCAGGTGCCTCGATGCTCCTGTGGAGGCCCCGTGGCAGCGCAGGTCCACACAGAGGAACTGAAGAGGGGATGGGGAGGGGGGAGTGTGGATACAGGGTGGTGGAGAAAGCAAGGACAGGAGGGGAAGGGGAGGGAGGGGTTGAAGTTGTGGTGCTGCTGTGTGGAGGCCCCGTGGCAGCGCAGGTCCACACACAGAGGAACTGGAAGGGGGATGGGGTTTGGGGAGGGGAGGGGGAAGAGGGTGGAGAAGCATGGTTGAGTGGTGCTGCTGTGGAGGCCCCGTGGCAACGCCGGTCGACACACAGAGGAACTGAACGGGTGAGCGGCGAAGGGGTGAGGTTGGAGGAGCAAGGACAGAAGCAAGGGGAATGGAATCGAGTTGCGGTGGCTACTGTGGAGGCCCCGTGGAAATGCAGGTGTACACACAGGAAATGCAGGGAATGGGGAGCGC